GGGGATGCAGATATAAACTGGAATGGCCCATTAGCTGTTCTTAATGTGAAGCCAGAGTGAGTTTAGTGAGTTAAGTTTCGCTATCCTGACTGTGATATGAACACTGAGTCAATGAAAAAATGTACTCGCCTAAGACTGAGCTTAGATATCCTGGCTGTGAAATGGCAGCTGAATCAGGGTCAGAATAATTCATAACTAGCCTAAGAGTAGGCTTTATCTATCCTGGCTGTGAAATGGCCACTGAATCAGGGTAAGGGCACAGTCTTGACTAGCCTAAGACCAGGCTTTAGCTTTCCTGGCTGTGAAATGGTCACTGAATCAGGGTCAGAATAATTCATAACTAGCCTAAGAGTAGGCTTTACCTATCCTGGCTGTGAAATGGCCACTGAATCAGGGTAAGGGCACAGTCTTAACTAGCCTAAAACCAGGCTTTAGCTTTCCTGGCTGTGAAATGGTCACTGAATCAGGGGCAAGGTAATTCTTAACTAGCCTAAGACAAGGCTTTAGCTTTCCTGGCTGTGAAATGGCAGCTGAATCAGAGTCAGAATAATTCATAACTAGCCTAAGAGTAGGCTTTACCTATCCTGGCTGTGAAATGGCCACTGAATCAGGGTAAGGGCACAGTCTTGACTAGCCTAAAACCAGGCTTTAGCTTTCCTGGCTGTGAAATGGCCACTGAATCAGGGTAAGGGCACAGTCTTGACTAGCCTAAAACCAGGCTTTAGCTTTCCTGGCTGTGAAATGGCCACTGAATCAGGGTAAGGGCACAGTCTTGACTAGCCTAAGACCAGGCTTTAGCTTTCCTGGCTGTGAAATGGTCACTGAATCAGGGTCAGAATAATTCTCAACTAGCCTAAGACCAGGCTTTAGCTTTCCTGGCTGTGAAATGGCAGCTGAATTAAGGTCCAGGTAATACTTAACTAGCCTAAGACCAGGATTGAGTTATCCTGCCTGTGAAATGGCAGCTGAATCAGAGTCGGGGTAATTCTTGACTAGCCTAAGACCAGGCTTGAGCTATCCTGGTTGTGAAATGCCAGGTTAATTCGGGGTCCAGGTAATTCTTAACTAGCCTAAGCCCAGGCTTTAGCTATCCTGGTTGTGAAATGGCAGTTGAATCAGGGTCAGAATAATTCTTGACTATCCTTAGCCCAGGCTTTAGCTATCCTGGTTGTGAAATGGTAGCTGGATCAGGGTCAGAATAATTCTTCATTACCTAAGACCAGGCTTTAGGTATCCTGGCTGTGAAATGGCAGCTGAATTCAGGTCCAGGTAATTCTTAACAAGCCTAAGACTAGGCTTTAGCTATCCTGGGTGTGAAATGGTCACTGAATCAGGGTCAGGGTAATTCTTGACTAGCCTAAAACCAGGCTTTAGATATCCTGGCTGTGAAATGGCAGCTGCATCAGGGTCAGGGCACAGTCTTTACTAGCCTAAGACAGGGCTTCACAAATCAAGTTGGTATTTGTTACTGTCAAAACAAGTCTTCACTCAATCCAAAAGATTCTTGCAAATCACTATATCGCAGTTTTAAATTGTTTCCAAACTTAAATCAAAATGATTAGGATTATTTGATGCATTCATGTGGCTTGGTGTATGGCTTGGACTGAAAATACTCACACTGGCTCCTTTAACACCATAAGCTTGAACTGCATGAGATGTTGGCTGCTGAGAAGATGTTCTTGATTCTTCATCAGGCATTACTTTCTTAAGGGTTGCAAATATATCAGGACCTTTAACACCACACAACGCCAGAGCTACAGCCAGAAGCTTAGCCCTGTCTGGATGATTAGGCATCGACTGCAACATCCTCATCTTCTCTGCTCCATCTTGACTTGAAGAGAGTGCTTTCAGTATATCTGACATAATAGCTCCACCTCCATGACTACCAGATAAACTCATCATTCCATGAGGTCCTTGGCCACTGGATGAACCCATCATTCCATGAGGTCCTTGGCCACTGGATGAACCCATCATTCCATGAGGTCCTTGGCCACTGGATGAACCCATCATTCCATGAGGTCCTTGGCCACTGGATGAACCCATCATTCCATGAGGTCCTTGGCCACTGGATGAACCCATCATTCCTTGAGGTCCTTGGCCACTGGATGAACCCATCATTCCATGAGGTCCTTGGCCACTGGATGAACCCATCATTTCATGAGCTCCTTGGCCACTGGATGAACCCATCATCCCAACACCATCTTGACGACTCGATGATGAAGACATCATTTTCATGTTACTTTGCCTGCCTGATGAACCCATTGTTCCAATACCGCCTGGACCAGGAAGTGAACCCCTCATTCCACGAGTACCTTGGTCAGATGAACCCATTGTTCCAATACCGACTGGACCTGGAAGTGAACTCCTCATTCCATGAGTACCTTGGCCAGAAGAACTCCTACCTTTACCACTTGATGAATCCATGATTCCAACACCACTGTGACCATGAGATGAAGTCATCATTCCAATACCACTTGGAACTTCAACAGGCGCACTAGACAATTTATATTTCTGTGCACTACTTTGAACTTCGGACTGTTGTGTGGTCAAAATGACAGGACTTGTTCTTTTTTCAAAATGAGATTCAGATGATTTGAAGTTGCCAGCATCCCTCTTCTGCTTCAGATCACCATGCTGGCTGGAACCACCAAGTCTTCCCAAGTGCGTAGCCAATTGTTTGTGAACCTCTTTCAGCTGAATAGCTTTTGCACCTGTCAAGTTACCAGACTTCAATCCACATTCAATTAAATTCATGGTTTGTTCTATCATCTTTTTTGAAGGTTTCCCTTCATCGGTATGCTTGTTATCTTGCTCACAGTGTTGTTTTGGAATCTCATCATCATGAGTTAAACTCCCAATATTGGATGGTGTCTTATACCGCTGTATGAACATGTCACTTGCTGACTGGGATGGCACACTTTGTTTGAACCTTGCAAATAAACTATCCCGCTCTGTTAAGGACTGCATTGGGTGTGAATGGTCAGATTCATTACCTGTCTTCAGTTGGCTCTTCATGAATTCATACAAGTTTGTTTGTTCTAAAGTCAGACTAGGTACATGTGAGCGTTTTTCTCCTTTCAACTGTGTCTTGCTTGTTTCGTTACTTAACTGGCTTGATGATGAGATAGAGTGTGACACAGGCAACTGCTTTCTTTTTTCAGACAAATAAGATGCCTGGTTTAAAGTTTTACTTGAACAAACTTGACTAGAGGACTTCTTTACAGGATCCTGTTTCTTCTTTTTTAACAATTCATGTGGCGGTAATGGCAAACTTTTAAACTGTGTTATACTTGGACCAGCTGAACTTGATGTTGCCGCACTACTTGTCAGTGAACTATGTCTGCCATGAGTATTAGACAATGGAGATGATGATGGAGGTGGGTAGGGAGGAGATGGTGGCCTCCATCTATTTTTTTCTGATTGAGGGAGAGGTGGTGGTGGTGGCGGCGGCGGGGGTGGCGATGCTGAGGGTAGTGGTGGTGGTGGTGTCTCTTTTGTGTCCAACTCAGTTTTCTGTTTGTCCCATTGCTGGTTGAACTCTTGCTGCATTAGCAACATGACTTGCTTCAACTGATCAGAAGAAGGTTTCTGTTCAGGATTGTTTTTAGTTTGCATCATGATACCCAGCATTTGTTTTCCAAGCTGTTGCTGAAGTTTTTTGGGAACCCCAAATTTGACACCATCTTGAGCATTCCGCTTTCTGGATGTTCCTGGACTCTGTTCGAATCCATGGCCTGCAAAATACAGAAAACCATGTGTTTAAGAATGTCAGTACCACTACCAGTATCATTAGTAAACTGTTCACCTCACAACAATGAAAGCGAAGTTTCTGATCAGCACAAAGGACATCTCTGACATAATGTGAACAGATTCAGGATTTCTGATTGGTCAATATGTTTGTAATGCATTTCTAGCACATTCCAAAAAATAATGAACAAGCCATGCATGGCACAGTCCCAGTTAGTTATCAAATTTAAGACGTATAGTTTTGTTTATACTATTATAGTTGAAACATAAACATGTCAACAATAAGGATCAAGAAGCTGATGCTCGATTATGATGATTTGTTAACATTAAAATGATTGACACTCAGTCATCTTGTATCTGATCATCAAACGAGTAATTGTCTATATTGAGATATATTGTTCTAGAACAGCAATAATTAAAACAAAATAGCCACCAGTCGGCCATTTTGAATACATCTGTATATCTATGACAAGAATATATAGAATTTGAACATAATCAGTCAAAGCATGTAAGAGATATGGCACTAGAACTGCACTCATTAAAAAAAAATGACTGCAAGGCAGCCATTTTGAATCTGATCTGAAAAACAAAATGATGTGCATCGAGAACCAAGAATGTTTAATTTATGTACCAAGTCTGAAAGAAATCCATCCATAAATGACTGAGATCCGGTTCAGCAATTTTGGATGATATTTTTAGCAGATAAATGGCCACTATTCGGCTATTTTGAACTGGATGGTCAAACCAATACATCTGTATAACTATTACACGATGTATAATGAATATATAAAATTTGAACATAATCAGTCAAAGCATGTGAGAAATATGACACTAAAACGACATTGATTTTAAAAAAATGGCCACCAGTCGGCCATTTTGAATAGATCTGAAAAATAAAATGTTCTGCATCAAGGTCCTATAATGTCCAAAGTATGTACCAAGTTTGAACAAAATCCATCTGTGAACAGCCGAGATTTCAGTACAAAAATGACTGCCATTCGGCCATCTTGAATCAGATCATGAAACAAATTGTAGTGCATAATTATGTATAATATTGTTGATGTATGTCTAAGATATAGATCATCCGGATGCACACAGGGACGCAAAGATACACGCACAGAGGTCACTGTTTTCGGACTGCATCCAAATAAGGTCTAAATATGCAGTATCCACACAAAATAAGTTTAGCCTCGAAATAGAGTCACCTACAACAGGAATATACCAGGCCAGCAACTGAGATATTCTAGGTTCATCTTAGAATCATGTCACCTTTGACAAAAATCAACCATGCTTAGTCTCAGAATGGTGTCACTTACAACAAGAAAATATCAGGTTTAATCTCAGAACAGCTATGACTGGCACTGGCACATAAATGCAATACTTGTGTGTTGTAGGTGTCAATCATTGTTTCTTTGTTTAATCAGTTATTCTTGGAATGAACAACCAGGCCTTTTTTATTACCTGACAACAATAACTGATGAAAACAACAATTAAAAACTCTCAAAAGAAATGCATTTTTGGCTAGTTGTTGAGACTCTTCTGAACTAATGTACTGGTACATGTGCAATATATATACATTTTGTTGTTCAGGATTGTTTCATAGTTGAGTTTGTGCTGTTTTCTTGGGGTTTAGCTGTTTTCACCGGCTCTTTGGCCGACGGTCAACAGCACCTTCACATAGTTCATGGACATACATGGTACAGAGGTGAGCGTCTTAACAACATAGAACGATCTGTGACATAGCTATGCCCCCGAGAATAGTTTCCCAAGTGAATGTCCTGTCAAACATTCACGACACTGTCTGACATTGACTAATTTTTTTGTTTAACATCTTCGTGACATCTTCCGGGACTCTATTGAAACATACAAAGAAGGGGCTTAGATAAATAGAGGAGTGCTACCAAATGAAGAGGATTTGAATTTATTACAGAGGGGAGTGGAATAAACACTGGCAGTGCCTCAATAACATCACAGGAGTTAATGTTGTTATCTTCAAGAGTGTTTAGGCCTCAAGAGAAGCCTGAAGAAAAACTACAGTTAATCCTAATTTTCCAAGGAAAATCTTGTTGTGAAATATAGGCATATTACTAAGTATTACCTCGCACTAGATTAAAACTAACTAAACCAATTATGACATCGTCTGGGATGAGAATACGCTGTCATTCAGAATACAATTTGCAACAGAAATTCATGCACTTATTTTATTCCAGTCACTGCATGCATCAAATTTTGTAACCTTTTCACTACCAGACTTCCTCACCCAAATTATTCAGCACTTTTTCAATATTTCTTGAAATAGATCCTGATTTTTGAGCGAACAGACAAAATTTGTGTAAATTTTGAGTTTTTACTCAAAACATTTGTCTATTTTTGTCCCAATCTTCTGAAGGTAAGTGCAGACTATAAATGGAACTATTTTGTGACTTTATGATGAAAAGAAGAAACTGGTGATGGAAAGGTTACGATGATCTGAATTTCTGAAATTAAAAAATACACCATTTTAAGTTTAACGCCAGGATTTATAACTTGAAGCAAACAACTGAAATTTACTGACAACCAAAATTACGGTTGAGGGCTTGTGAAGTTGAGCACATATTCACTGATATCACCATGGCGACAGTTCTTCTCACTGGACATTCCACCTCTTGACACGTATTTCAAATTTTAAGTTTATCATCCCTTGGATGTAACAAAACCATAACATCTTTAAAGATATTGTGATCTGTTTTCTAATCATTCACCCATTTTGAAGCCTTTAGAATCCATGCACGATGATAACATAGAACAGGTAATTTTAGTTTCCATAGTTTGAACGCCTTTTGATTTGTTGAATTTTTTGGTGGAGTCAACCTCGCCAATTTCAAGTTGAATTTTACCTCCAAATCGTGTTTACAGACTTATCATACCACCTAATGAAGACCTGATTATTACTAATTTAATACTAATTTGAAGGGATTTCAAAGGCACAGTTTCACCAATCACAGACAATTATGAATATCAGCCAGGTTATTTTCAAAAGGCAAAGCTTGTGAGTGTACTAGTATGAGGTTATTACGAGGATACCTCAAAGTATGCACAAAGACAGTACAGCAAGAGTATCGACCGATGCAGCGGAGGTCGATGCGTCAATGTACTGTCCGAGTGCATACTTTGAGGTATCTTCGTAATAACCTTATTATTATACATCTTTTCCTTCCAAGGACAGAACAGAATCAGTGAACTTCTCTGTATGGAGTCCGGTCAAACCCTGGTGGCAGCCATGTTTGTTTTTATTTGTAGAGGACGCTCACGTGCGTAATCATTCCATATTTGAATTTCACATTTCTTATATGGTAGGATGAAAATATCATGTAAAATACCGCAAAATTACGGCACGCTGTAACTTATGGCGTTACGGTGATAGATGTATAATAATATTCAATATTTACAAAAACTGGAACAATTTTAGTGAATCACAGTGGTTCACAATTGTGTTTGCAAGTTGGCATGAAATATACCTCTCTCAATAATAAACATATAGCCGCCCAGCTTTGTTTAGACAACCATATCGTGAACAGTATCTTTTGTTGATACAAATAACGACATAAACAGCTTGTTTAAAAACAACATGATATAACTTATTTAATGAAAGTTTTAATTTTTTGGTATAAGCACCAAACATTTGTTGTTAGATGGAATAATTGTTTTTCTGATGTTTTTCATTCGACAAACGGTGTGAAACAGGGTGGAATCTCTTCACCTATATTTTTTACAGTTTATCTTGATAACTTCAGTAATGAACTACAGTGGCCCCTCGCTAAGTCGCGGGTGTTGGGATCCAAGCAAAAACCGTGACTTATCGAGGGCCGCGACTTACCGAGGAACGTCGTGAAAGAGGGAGGTCGTGCATTGAAAAACATATAAAAAGCACATATAAACCCTCGGTTTAGTTAATTGATGTATCATCACATGTGTCAGGCAAATAATAAATCATGATTATGTTTGCTGTAAACATTGCGTTGATTATTTTGTTTGTGTCTGATATTATGTGGGCCGCTTGCTGTTGCTTGCGACTTCAACGGTAACAGCTTCCAAAATAAACCAGTTTCATCGCAATTATAAACATGTTCGTCAAAATAACCACCTTCATAGATAATTTCTCTCAGTTTTTCGGGAAAAGTTCAGACAGCGTCAATGTTCCCAGATCGAGCTTCACCTTGGATTGAGACTGCGTGTGTCGATAGCGTGTCTTCTTTGCCATCGCAAGAACCACCCTGAACTGGCCTTAAATTCAATGTCGTCATATCTGAGTTGTATGCTTTGCATTGGGTGATGGGACCAGATAGTG